CTGGGGCTGTCCTGGGCGGCAGGTGGGGTGGCGCTCGGGCACTCACCTGGGCTCCCAGTGCGGTCAGGTGCAGCGTGGTGGGGCGGTGCTTGCGGGGCTCCTCCAGGGAGGGGGAGCAGGTCAGCGGCTCCGGAGTGGGGGCTCCTGAGCCCGGCCTCCCCCGCTCCCCTCCCTCCTCCTCCTCCTCCTCCTCCTCCTCCTCTTCCTCCTCCTCGTTGTCGTCGATCATCTCAAACTCCTGGAAGTCATCTTGGAAGGAGCAGATGGGGTGCGGCTGCTCCGAACGCCCCAGGGAGAGGCTGTCCTGCAGGAAGGAGGGACAGGGCAGAGCTGGGGAGGGTGTGACCTGACTCAGGGTCCCAGGTGTCAGAAAAGGGGAAAGCAGGGAGCTCTCAGTCCCTCTAGTAACTCTGCTTCCAACAGAGCAGTTCTTGTTAGTTTTTTTTTAAAAAATTCTGCTTAAAATACATAAGGATCAGTCTGGCTCTTGGTAAGAATCTGAGCGCCTAAGGTTGGCTGACAGACTCTCAGAGTGGCCCCAGCCCAGCTGCCAGCCGCATCTGGCCTCCGAGCCCATCACGCCAGACACCACCCTTTCCTTCACAGAAGCCTGACACGAGTCACAATTACTGGGCAGTGTCTGGTCTGTCTCCCCAACCAGGCTGCAAGCCCCGCCAGGGCAGAATGTCCTCACTGAGCTCAGTGTACCCCACACCCAAGAACAGGACCTACTCATGACCGATGCTCGGTTAATAGCGAGTGAGCGCATGAAGGGACAGACAGCTGGCACCTGGGAGCCATCAAGCTTGCACCAGCCTCAGGGCCTCTGGCACAGTGAATCCTGCTGGGGCAATTTGTCTCTTCCACTCCCTCCCACCACCCCCACCACCCAGTTCCTGCTCATACTCCCTAAGGGCCATGTCTACTGGACAGTCTCAGTCCGAGTTCCCTTCGCCCTCACTGCACCTTGTGTCCTCAGGGAGAACCCAGTCCTTGACACCCAGGCAGCCCTGCTCCTACATGGCTATCTCCCTACTAGGTCACAAGCTCCTGAGGGCACGGGCCACACCTGTCCTGTTCTCTCAAGCACCTGGAGGCCCCTGGCACTTGCCACGTGGCAGCTGCTCAAAAATGTTCTTGAATGAACGCAAACAGAAACATGGAGACAGGATGAGAAAGAAAGAAGGAGCTAAGGGAGAAACAGTTTCAGGAGCGGAGACAGGAGCAGAGATGCAGGGGGGGACAGGGCGGAGAAGGAGACAAGGTGAGTGGGAAGGGGTCAGATTTGCTGGGAAGGGCTCTGAGCCCAGAGAGCACACCTCTGCTGGCTCCTCCAAGCTAGCCCACTGATGGGGGTCAAGTGAGGACTGCGGGGAGACCCTGGGTGAAGGGCCCACAGTCTGTTAGAGAAAGAGGTTTGACATCTGGGAAGACCAAAGGCCACGAGGGAGCATCTCCTGCTTCCCGGCTGAGCTCAGACGCACCCTAAGTCCCTGAGCGAGCGCTCAGCAGGGCCCGTGAGGCTCTCCCTGCAGAGGGTCTTGGGCTCCAGCCCCTCCCCACCTTCTCGCAGTGGTCCGAGTCATAGCTGAGGCCCAGGCCGCAGTCGTCGGTGATCTCAGACAGGTCTTCGTCGTCAAACTCTTCCAGGCTTATGTCCTGAGGAGGCCTGGAGAGGAGACCTGGGTCAGAGCGCAAGGACGGCGGCTCCTGGGCCCGGCTCCGCAGCCCCACCTCCCCGACGTGCGTCCCGGGGAAGCCCCCGCTCCTCTCGCCAGAGGCCGCCCAGAGGGGCCGCTCGTCC